TAATATTTTAATGTAAATATCCGTCAATACCCAGGACCATGATAGGCGTTTGACTATCTCCAATTACAATGAGATTGCTCTTTCCTAAACTTGGAAATTATATATAGCGCTTTCCAAGGTTTCTAGCCCGAGGCCAAGAAAAGCTTCTTTTGCTAGCTTCTTTTACTAAATATTATTATTATCTCCCGACCTCGGGAGTAAATATTCCTCGGCATCTATGTCCATTTTTATATTTGCCTCTAATTTTATTTACGGTATTAATCTCACTAGGCTCTTCGATCCAAGAATCCCGAAATGCGGCGATACATCTCCACGGGGTTAGAATACATAGGGAAGTGTCCAGCGCCCACAATATCAGCTAATTCAACACCCTCCTTCTCTAACAACGGCAGATACGACAAGCCACGCATCTCCTCCCCGAACATAAACATGCGCGGACACGGCAATGTCAGGAACTTGTCCATCAACTCCCCGTGATCAGTCAACTCCACCATGGACTCGAAAATCGGCCGAACCGCGGCAGCCCGGACCCGGGCCCGCAGGGTGCTAGCATACATCGCATTGGCGAATGAGCCCGATGTGCGCGTGCGTTCAATAAAAGCATCCATGAACGCCTCGTCGTCGTCAGCTGGGAACATGAAGATCTGGCGGCTGAGGAAGCAATCCTCCGGTGCAAGATTGCCTTTGATATTCATGAAACTGAGAACACGATCTGGATGTTGGTTTGCGAGGATAAGGGCTGTTAAACCGCCCATGGAGTGACCCATTAGGTGGAATTTGTCAATATTGAAGCGCGCGAGCAGGGCTTCCGCGGTCGCCACAAGGAACGGGATGTCTGTTGCGGAGAGGTTGTTGCTTGCTGAGTGGCCGCAGCCGGGGGCATCATAGGCAATGAAGCCATGGTGTTTTAAAGATGGCTGGATCGTTAGATCGGCCAGATCTTCTTTGCTGGAACCGAAGCCGTGGAGGAAGAGAATTGGTGGGTTTGAGTTGAGTTTATGGATCGTTGAGAGGTTGAGACTGACGCCTTCAACCGTGAGGGGGATACATTCGAATGTGAGTGACATGATGAAATGAATCGGTTTTAATTTCCACACTTTTTTTTTACATTGGGTTTGCTTTTTATTTGTATCTGTGACCTCGGGAAAAAATTTTGATGGATGCTTTCAACGATTCGGCGAAATGTTATTTTGCCGCGATTTACTCATACAAGAGTCATAGGGTCGTAGGCCGATTCACTTCGCGCCAACTATCCCAATTCAATTTGAGTTGACATAAAGCTAGGAATTACATAAATATCTAGGTAACTGCTGACTGGTATCTTTTTCCCCATTCCTGAGGTAAGTTGAGAGACGACCTCGGGGTACAGGTATATCGCTCCATGGAGCCACGCCGGTCTGGTTTTCCGAAGTACTCTAGCAAATATTATACGAGCCATTTGATCAGGACGAGACCTTAGGACCTGGAACTACTACGATTAACGAAACACGGTGTACTTCGGATAAGTGCAGAGCCGTGGTAGTTGAAGGGGTGCTACATGCGGAGGCTAAGGAGTTCGCGCAACCTAACTTGGGTCCTATGGCTCCCAAACAGGCTGCAGGCGATGGTATTCACTCCACAAAACCCCGAAGTTTCAACCGCATCCGTGACATAAAGAATGCTTCACGTCCCAGGGGACCTATGGTCTTTCGCATCTAGGCGATTTTCAAGGGTCAACATCGACTCACAACAGGAGGATCGGTAGTCTTGTGTATCCTGGCTCACCAGCCCACATCCCGATGAGCACATTTGCCTAAAGCGAGCGCTATCTCCAGGTTGCTCAGATTTGCTAGTCCGTGGTCTTAGTGGTCGCCATCCCATGACTTCAATGGTCTGCTCATGCGCGGCCATCCACAGCCTTCCTCCAGCAGCGGACGAGAGAGCGGTGAAACCCGACGTAAGAACAGAATATGGCGCTGGACGACAAGGGGGGGGATGGCCGGGGGCTTATCGCTAAGCTCATAGATAGGGGTAGAGGCGCTGTAGCTCGCCCTTTCTCCTTTTGGTCATCAGATTGAACCTCTCTAGCGAGCAATACTCTTGCATCGAGCCCTAATATGGGTGTAAGTCCCGAACGCATACATGATGCTTTCAGAGCCGCACCTTTCCTGGATGCCGACGCGTGGATGCAGGGATCCATTCACGAGATGGCAGACCGATGTGAAGCTAAACTGGGCCATTGACGCCGACCAACCGGTCCCGGACATACCTCATGCCGACGTAGTCCTTATATTTGCCTTGCTAGCCATCTACCTCTGACGCTGTATAGCGCGTGGCAACCGCGATAGGTGAACTAGCTCGATGCGTTTGCCGTGATGCGTCTCGATATTAGGTCGATTTCTGTTCCGGTCGGCGCATAGCCTAGACGAGGTCGAGGACTTCGGCAAGCTGCCCGGGTGGGTTGATAGCGCCACCGGTGTGCAATATGATGGGGTTGATGGCATAGGTGAGTTGGGCGATAGGCAGAGAAACGCCGCTCAGAAAGAAGAAGACATATCGCTGCTATGCGCCGGTAACACGGAGAATCCTATGTGAAGTGGGCTGAGGCAGCCCGAATCCTCAACGAAAAGGAGTGAGATATTGGTAAGCTTGAGAGCGCATGGGGAAATGGGTTTCCGTACGATGTGGTATTCCCATAGGTTAAACCTGGATTAGAATAGTGTGTGGGTATGGCCCTCATTGGATTGTAAATAATTTAAACATATCCATGCCTTAATTCTACAAGTGGAGGGTACTTGGCGTATACTGAAATTGCTACACAGTCAGATATGACACATGCACGTATACGGGCGACTAAGTATGCCACCGGTTCATAACGCTCTCATTGGATATTACCTCACCGCTTCATTCGTCGCCGAAGGCATATACAAGACAAGAATTGAGATCAGCGGCCTATACGGCTTTGTTGTATTCATTTTAGATGTCTTTTGAGATGTTTTCCCTAGACTTTTCTACATATAACCTTCGACTATATAATTAATCAACTTATGATAGTACGACCAGCCATTAATCTTAGACCCTATAATGATTAGATTATATCTCTTTTTTAAACCGGCTTTATCTTCAACTATATAGTTAATTTTGTTTCTACTTGTAAAGTGGGAGTGTATTCACATTAATACCTGGCAAAATGAATCAATGAGAGAGTTATGAACCAGTGGCATACTTCGTCGCCCGTACACGTAGGCTTTTTAGTTAAGTGAGATTTTGGAACATAAGTCTGTGCGCTAGTATGGTGGTTTAGAATCCCTTTTTAGGCGGGTGAGATGAAATCATCTCATCTGGGCGGTTTCAAAGAAGGCCGATTACTCAAAAGGGGCTCGAGGCCATTCAAAACAAAACATCTAAAAAAATTGGTGTCGCATTATCTTGCATCAAGGGGTTAGCACTATAAAGAGACATCAATTTCCTTCCCTTTAAAGGGTTATATTATCATAAAGGCTGTGCATCAGGTTATATTGCAAATTTGGCAACGATTGGCTTGGCGATCGCCTGTAGCTGCGAGGCTCTGGACCAGGTGGCACAGCAATGATTTTTGGTTTGTTGATAGGTCAGTCAGGATTGTGATTATGCATGGACAGGGATATTCCATCAAGTTTAGATAGTGACGAGTTTGTAAACATGCATGTAGTCATCACACCATATATAAACAATGCTGGTCATAGCGATGCTGATACATCATAGACAATTTTTAAGGCCGTGGAAATAATGCTTCATTGGGGAATGAGAAACCGGACTATCGGCTTCGAATAGAACAGGCTGGAATAGAACTCGCTCCTCGGTCTTGTAAGCTAGGCCGGGCAGAAATAGTATAGGGCTGAACCACAAGAACAACTGCGCCACAAGAAATTTTGCAGCCTGGAAATTCCCCGTTGGGGATGCGTGCCAAGTGCTCGAGACTTTATTATTGAGTCAGAATGAGTTCCTGTGAAACCGGTGGACTGCAATTGGGGTAACTATGACGCTGAAAAAGAAAAAGATCAGCCCTAAAGAGGATAATAAGAGGAGACGAAAAAATCCCGCGAGCCAAAAGGAGGCAAACGGTGGGATTGCCAAGACTCGGCAGGTCCCGCACGTGAAAATCTCTCAGGTCAGCGGTTAGATAATCCACATTTTCAGCCATGTCAGCCACTTGAAGGCGGCGGGAAAAGTGCGGGAAAGTCCCGGGTTCTAGAGCTTCCCAAGTTGTGGCTTGACCTACTGGCCAAGAGAGTCAAGAGCGGGTCGGTAGACTTTTTCCCTGTTCCACATCTGACCGCCAAATATATCCAAACACACATTCCGGATTTCGACTTTATATATATCTTCTTCAAAAATCACCATGGCGACATTCCTCCAGTTAAATGCCCAATCTCTAGCACACGCTCTTGTTGAGCTCTAACACCGGCCGGCCGTGCGTGTACGTGCTACTGCGTGTTGCCGATTGCTGCAAGTCCAAGCTCTTGTCAACCCTCCCTATTCGCCTACCACCCACCATCCTCTTTTCCCGTTATCAAAAAAACAAAGCTGTTCCTTCGAAGGTTCAAAGCTGCAGGCTTATCAGAACCCCCTTTTCCCGACTTAAAACACACCAACCCCTACTCACCGCATCGATAACGAAAACACCCTGCTGTCTGGCCAGTGCTGTTTGAATTGGACATTCTCAACCAGTCCTTGCCTCAGATTACAACCCCGTGCCAAGTGTGCTTGCCGTTTTCCACATTCTTTGTCTCCCGAAAGGTTCTCAGGGGTCCTTCACCGAGCTTTGGTGAACGCCGAAGACCCGTCAAATTCCCATCTCAACTTGGATTTTGATTATTTTATTATTTTCCGCCATGGCTGTCGACTTATAGCCCGCTCTAGCCCTTGAGATTCTTTGTACTCCAGTGCTGTTTCTATATCAACTTGGACTTCTCCCCCTGATTTTCGTGGACAAGTCGTCGCACATACCCTTTTTTTTTATCTCGATACCATCCTCAATCATGGCTCCCAACCTTTTCCTCTGTGCGCGAACCATTTTCTGCCCTACCTACTGGTTCCAGAAGGGCGACCGCGACGGCGATCTCAAGGAACAACATTGGGAATCCCCCGTCCCGGGAACATACAAGTTCCTCCCAGGTCGCGGATGGCACCTCATCCATCGGGATGGGTGTGAAAACGATGAAAAAGTCCCTGCTGCACTAGTCTACTGTCGCATCCTCCACCGTTACATGTTCGAATCCGAACTGGAGGAACGCTGCCGCTGGTTCGACGCCCCGCTGCACAAGGGCGGCCGTCCGGAAAAGCTGCGCTTTTTCCTCCTCGACGATGGCATTCACTGGGTCGCTGGCTGGGATGCCCAGGGCAGCTTCATTCTTGGCCCTTACCCCAAGTGGTGGCTCGACGAAGATGGATACACCATGCGCCGCGGTGCCTCGCCTCCTACCAGTGCCAACGTGTCCCGTTGCAGCAGTATCATTGCTGGCAAATTTGACTGAGCCTGTCTCAAACCACAACCTCCGAGATTGTCAGATGACAATTCTTCTAATGATGATTGGGATTGGAAATTCCATCATACGTGTATACCCATTCTGTTGGCGCTTTTTCGATATTGCAAAGCGATTTAGCGTGTCTCCTTGATTCTCATGATAACCCACAAAAGTTTCTGGTTTCGGTTTTTATTTTCTTTGTCATAGCGATGGATATGTTTTCAGGTTTCTTCTTTTTTGTCTTATAGATCTCAGGTTAGATTAGACTTTTAATGATCCAGGGGTTTCAATGATCTACTTGATCTACAGGGCGCACGTTTATGTCTTTTTCTTCACATCGGCGTCTCACATTCCTCGGATGATTAATAACATACCAATGGAACTCGGCAGACGGACCGTTTTGCCGAGCTATATATCGCTTATTTCCTCTTGAATTCCTGTAGGGATCATATGATCAATCCGAAGTCCAGAATCCCGACGATATTCCGAAAATTATACGACTGTCTTGGAATGCAAGGGGCTACCTATATTCCCATAAGAAAACTATGTACGGAGTACTCTGTACAACCTTGGAAGCCCAGCCCAGCGCCCAACATCCACATTCTATCCCTCACAATTTCGCCTCGGCTTTAACGAGCAGCTTCTCCAGGCCCTGCCTAGTCCGCTCCTCCATCCCCGTCTTCCCAACCCGCATAGTCTCCCTCAATACAAAAACATGTGTATAAGTCCCAACCATCTTCACATCCTCCTCGCCCTTACGGAAAATACCCACTTCCCAGGTAACGCTGGACTTGCTCAGTCTATTAACGCGCAGCCCGACCTCTAGCAGATCCGGGAAGCGCACCGAGGCAAAGAAGTCGGCGTGTGTTGAGACAATCAGACCTATTTGGTCGGCGCCGGCTGCTAGGTTCGACGGGGAGGGGAAGTTGGAGGGCTGGCCGTGAGTCGGCGCTGGGGTTGGGTTGTTCACGCTGAAGGGGTCCATGCCGCAGTGTTGGATTAGGTACGTGTTCGCGATTGTGTCGAAGAGGTGCGTATACACTGCGTTATTGAGATGCGCGTACATGTCGTTGTCGAACCTGTGGGGTGTTAGTGTCGGTGTCTGGTAGGTTTGCGGGTGTCCGTTCGGAGGTCCTGGTACTGACCACCGGGTCTGGTGTACTTGGTGAAAGCCATAGTCGCTGCGTTTACGTTGCCTTTTGGCTTGGGACTCTGGGGTGGCCATTTTCTGTCTTTCCGATGGGATGGTTAGATTTGTTCAAGCGTGATTCTACAATAGATTAGTTTATGCTTCCAAGCTTGATATAACAAGAATGTTCTCCGCGCGGACCTCGGCATATCGGCGATTAGGTAATTTTGATGGGGGCGGGCCCTCCCAAGTATGCCACTGGTTCATAGCTCTCTCATTGGTTTATATGGGCATTAATTTAGATCCACTCTCACTTTACAACCTTAGAAGTATGTGAAGGTATATCCCGCCCAGGGGTCGGAGACCAATTATATAGCCAAAGGTTATATGTAGAAAAGTCTCTTACATAAAATATGCTCTTTTTACCCCTCGTATATACATATAAAGACCGTATAAGCGGCCGATTACAATTCTTGTCTTGTATATGCCTCCGGCGATGAATGAAGCGGTGGGGTAATATTCAATGAGAGACTTATGAATTGGTAGTATATTTAGTCGCCCGTACTCTACTCCGTACGGCTTCTTTGATACACTTCTTTCATCTAATCCACCACAAAGAAGTAGATCGAGGCTTTCATCGTGTATATTTAGCTGTGTTTCCGTCCGTATAAAGATCAGAGCTTATGGAATTTGATTTAGAATTATATTCGGCCTTGCTATCTCATACATGCGTCGAAAAATCGCACAATAGCTCATCAACATGCCTAGAGCTGGACTTCAAGTTTTGATCCTATGCGGTCCTGGGACCTCATTTGGCACTCTTCTTAATCAGGAGAAGACTCCGAAATGTCTTGCCCTAGTTGCTAATAGGCCGATGATATATTACCCGCTAAAGTTCTGCGAGACATCACATATCAGTGGTGAGTTAAGACCATTCAAATCTCAAATCTCAAATCTCAAATCTCAAATCTCAAATCTCAAATCGCATTTTGTTATTATATGGTTTACTAATTTTTCCAGATGTCACACTGATTATACCTCCCTCTGCACTTGCTCATATCCAGTCCGCCTTACAGCAAAACCCTTATTTGAAATCACTTCCTATGCCAAAGCTCCTCGCCCCTCAAGACCTTCAAGCAACAATGGCAACAGCACAGTTGCTTCGCCTTCCCGAGGTGCAATCTTGCATCGAATCCGACTTTTTGCTCCTGCCTTGTGACCTAGTCTGTGAACTCCAGGGCACATACTTGCTACAGATGTGGATGGCGTCTCAAGGCCAGACCGTAATGGGCGAGGAGGAAAGACACCGTCGAGGCGGACTTTGTGTGTATTATCATGCAGCAGATGCCATGAAAGATGAGGTTTTGGATTTGATAGCTGTTGAACCACTTCGGCAGACTAGGATATCTACAAGGTCAAGTCACAGACCAGCGAAACTGCTCATGTCTATCGGGATGGATACCGTGAAAAGAAACCTGGAACGTGATAAGTGTTTCCTTCTTCGTCATTCATTCGCGAAGCGACAAGCCACACAAGCCAAGATGTTGACTGGCTACCGCGATGCACACCTCTACATTTTCCCCTACTGGGTCAAGGATCTCGCACGGCGTCAAGAGAGACTAGTGTCCATTAGCGAAGATCTCATTGGGCTCTGGGCCAAGTCTGCATGGCAGCGGGGACTGTGTGAAAAGATAGGAATGGATACTTGTTTGAGCCAGCAGAAAGAAAATCATGGAGAGCACCACTACCGGGAATTGAGCACTATCACCCACCAACCACCACGAAATGATATCTCGGAAGTACCGCCTCTTCTAGCATATCTCCATACAGGATCTACGCCAACTGTCAGTCGTGTTGACAATCCTAATCTTCTCTTATCTACCTCCCTTCGTCTAGCCAAACTAGAATCCATTGGAGAGGTCGACCATGTAGCTACGCAATCCCCATTCGGCCACGACCGAAAGATCGCCTCTCCTGAGTTTTTGGCTTCAAACTGTTTTATTTCGAAGACCGACTGTCTCCTTGGATCTAACGTGACCGTTGAGGAACATTCTGTTATAAAGGAATCTTGTATTGGCCCGAACTCTAAGATCTGCAGTGGTGCCCGGATCATGGGATGCGTCATTCTTGATAACGTTGTCATTGGAGAACGCTGTGTATTAACTGGATGTGTAGTTGGCAGTGGTAGTTATATTGGCAATGACTCGGTGCTTAGGGATTGTGAAATCCAGGAGGGTAATGTTGTCCCTGAACAAACTGAGGCTAAGAACGAAAAGTTTATGCCACTTTTGGAAGATCTAGAGGAGGATACTGATAAATCTGACGTGTTTGCGAATAGTTGCTAGAATGTCTATCTTCATTTTACCCTAGCCACCATGTCAAGTATAATACTTAAAATACACAGTCAGGACATAGACCAGGAGCTACGAACAAGAAAAGTCCACGCAAGATGAAGGGAGAAAGATGGTGAGGATAGACTATCTGTGAAAAGAGAGTACCACCTAGTATTGAGTGCAACATAATGAGTCTGACACTTTACTGCAAAAAAAATTAATACCTAATAACAATATATAGCATAACATAAAGATTTTGTGTAATTCCATTGCTAATTTACGCTTTATCTCTAACCTGTGCGTAGGGAACTAAATACATAAACTTGAAGTAGTTCAAATATGCAAATCCCGTATATGTAACAGGAACATATCGGGCACCTCTCCGGATCCAGAACATTGTACACCTAGCTGCCCAGCTTGCCGAGAGTATAGCTGGGCCCATGGGTGACTGAAACGCCGATGGGACAATATGGCGGTAAATTATATCAGCGTCATCAAAGAAAGAACGAGCATGTGGAAGAAACCGCCGTTTTGAGTGGGAGTAACGTTGCAGCTCTTTATTTCCAAAAGCTGGATGGAATTCGATTTCACTACCAACATACCATACTTCCGGGAGCGTTGGACTGGTTTCGTTGATAGGTCTATTTTGTTTGAATAGTTGCACCAGCCGGACTGCCGAATTGCAATTCGATTCCACTGCATCTTGGCCTTTGGTACCGTGGGCTAGGATGAGGATGTCACACGCAGAAAGTGCCGCGATAGCCTTTTCGAAGTTTTGATGGTCCCAATCAACGCCGAACTTCAAACTGTGAATACTCTGTACTCCTTCTTCTTCAAGCTCGGCCACAATAGCTCTGCCAAAAGCTCCGTTTCCGCCAGTAATCACAATGCGTTTGCCTCGAACGGAGTAAGAAGTACCCCATATCCAGTCAAATAGTTTGATAAATGAACCAATATAGCGATCTGGGTAAACATGATGGAGGGCGTGGTACTCTGGGCCAGCAAATATCCAGTTGGGGTCTTTCGGCGCGGTTTTGTATACCAGGTGATTCGAGTCCCGGCCATTCGCGAGGATAACAACGGTTGTTCTGATTATTTGAATGCTAATCATTGACCAAAGATGACTTTGTGTGATCCACACAAGCCCGGTAGGAGTCGCCCAAATAGCAAGAACATATCCTAGTGCGGTTCCAAAGATTTGAAGCCCTAACTCAAGCGGCAGCGCTTGAACCAAATTTTGCCATAGATACTTGTCGTCGAAGTTCATATGCCGAGTAAAATAGAGATGATGGAAACGGTGAATACGTGCGAGACGCCGGAGAAGAGGATGGGACGATGTATTAGGTCGATGCAGCATATAATGGACCACATCAAAGAACAAAGAACCTGTGCAAAAGAGATAGAATAAGGATAATAGAGGGAGAATCAGATCACGCAAGAAGGGTTGGAGGAATCCAACCACCAAGGCAGGGATTTCATCAATAGATGCCGCGTCGACTGAATAGATCATCTTGATATTGAATTTTGAAAACGCAACGAAAGAAAAGATTGAGGAGTATCGAGAAATTCGAGCAGTGACTCTCTTGCGCTTTCGGAAGATGCAAAGATCGATTGGTGTTTCGAGAGTACCGCAGGGCCAATCTTCAATATAAGGACTCCCCTTTTTCAGTAGATTCATGCTAGACCATTAGCATAAGGCGCCAATATAACAACCTTCGAAGGGTCTAAGTTGATTCGTTAGTAAGACCGTTCTCTAGTCCACCTGGCGAAACAACGCTATCCACATCCAACCCAAGGGTCATAGATTGACCGAAATCGGCTTTGTCAACCAGGCGAGTGTTTGTCGTAGGTTTTTCTTTTTTGCGATCTATATTTTTTTTTTTTGCTTTTTTTCTTATTCAATCTAGTCATATAGCATATACCTTGATCAATCATTTCAATGAATGTGCATTTAAGAGAAAAATAATAGGATAAAGGAGTGAAGAAATGTTGCACCAGAGCCCCACTCCACTGTAAGAGAAATGCGAGAATACGAGTACGCCAGACATTTATTTTTATATCCGTACTTGTTTCAGAACCTTAGAAGGCTGCTAGATTAGATCGAACCAATCAATGCTTAGACCCTGCACAGGTACCTGCAGGTGGTTAGTAATTTTATTTTATTTTTATCTCACAAACCAACATAAAGAGAGAGAAAGGTTTAACCTTAACTTGATACATTGTTGCCTGGTGCATCAGGCTACAGTACTATAACTACATACTGTTCCCAACTCGGCAATTGCTTCAGTGACCTTTGGAATATGCCACTCCGTATACTAGAGGCATTTCAACTGGGCGTCGAAGCTCGAACGTTTTTTCCCTACTAAAGTCGATCCAAAAGTCGGGCAATTATGCGCGAAATTAGCTGGAATTTTAGTCCCTCTTGTGCGTTTTTCTTCTAGGTACCAAGAGCCCATCATATAATAAGCACAACTCCGCTACATCCACGTACTCACATCTTCCATGCACAGCACACTCTGCCTCAGCCCATCTTGCATCCATGATCCGCCTAGCAATTTCTTTCCGTGACCTAGCCCGAATGGAGCGATATATGCCTTGGTTGGGGTAAGCAACGAGGCCGACAGTGGCCGCGCCCGTTTTGACCGTTAAACTAGTCAATCCCTTCATCAATCCCTTGGCTACTCCCACAGAACCCTCTTTTTTCTTGCCGGCGTATGTGTACACAAAGATATCCGTGAAGCCTTCGTACAGCCCGTGGCTGAAGGTAGACAACCCCACCATTGCGCCGCTCTTCCAGTCTCGTACGGGTCCATGGACTTTGGTTTGAACGCCGTACCATCGAGGAATGGCCAGCATTCCTTCAGTTGCTGCAAGAGGCAGATCTACGAGCATGCCACGTGAGGACCGACCTAAAAACTTTCCAAGGCTGATCGCTGAAGCTAGTGCCATTTGCCTAGCGTAGTTGGGAACATTCAAAGCGTGATTCGACGGCACTTCAGCAGCATCACGGCTCATTGATGCTTCGGTTTCTGTCATTGAAAGCGACCCGGTGGTGAGAGGTATAGAAGTAGAAACAGGAATATCAGGGCGAGTGTTGCGGCTTGATCGGAGACGTTGACATTCCTTATAAGGATCGACGAAGATTCCAACTGTGGCATCGGCCATGCCGGTCAAAGTTGACAGCGACGCGGAAGAAACAGCTGTAATAGGATCCCAGCGTTGGGGCTCTATAGTGAATGGCTTGCTTTGATATCTGTTTGTGTGCGCGAGTAGGTTAGTCATGGTCAAGAGTCCCATGGATGATTAGTTGCTAGCTCTTCAGCCTTACTCACATTTTAAGATTTTCCTCTTGGAATCGCCCTTGACGTTTTAAAACCAGTGCAGCAGTATTCGACAGCTTGAGAATCTGTTTTCCCTTCTTCAGTCTCCAACTAGCAACTTCTCCGGGGATCAGGTCACATTGCATTTGTGTTCGTGGCAGATGTGCGTGGAACGAATCCACCGCTGCACGAACACCAGATTCTTGATTTATTTGGTTCGCAATGGATTGAGCCACAGCAATAGCCTGTGGGGTGAGGGAATAGGAAATAGCGTCTGCCAATTTCTGCGCCGTAAGGCTCTTATAAGGGATTGGTTCCAGCCCAGCCCCTGCAGTGGCAACCATATTACCCCAAAACGGTTGACTAAAACGCACCATTGGTCAGTACTAGGTGGAATTATAAGAAATAGTTGTACTTACTCTCCGAAGAATGGAATGATTGTGGTGGGTCTCCCGTTGCGTAGGCCACATGCTGTGGTACCGGCACCACCATGATGTACGACAGCAGCGACATGTTTGAACAGCCACTCGTGTGGACAATCCTGAATATAATAGACACTAGACGTATCTTGGCCATGTAGCTCACTCCAGCCGCCGGCGATGATGGCGCGAACCTCTGTCATTCGGATGGCATCTAAAAGGATTGACATGGTCTCCCCCACATTCTCGAGAACGATACTGCCAAACCCGATGTAGACAGGCGGTTGACCTGCGCGTAAAAACTCATCTAGGTCCGCTGGTGGATCATAAGCCACTGGCTCACGGAAGAAGAAGCCAGCGACATCTGCAATGTCAGTTTGTATACGTTTGCCTATTGTGTGCAAAGCTAACTTACCTATATGTGGTCCCCAGTCCTCCGGTTTTGCAGTCAACGCGGGCGACCAACAATATGTAAAGGGAATTTTGAGTGTCTCGTACAGATTCGGGCCCTCTGTGGTTGGGATAGGGTCTAGCTCTAGAGTATCCTTCCGCCATGTGTTTATCAAGTCGCCCAAACTGGGATTTGTTAGCAAAGTCCCAAGGGAATTTGTGAAAGGAATAGCTACCCGTTCCATGTAATCCATTCTACAAAATGATAGGATATGTAATTTCCCAATGAAGGGTCATTCCCAGAATAGTCCAGGTTGGCAAGGGGATGGTGAAAAGCCCTGGTAGGAGTCCAGGGCATTGTAAACATAAGGTGGACAGGGACCCCAAGAGCTTGTCCACAGTGTATATGAGCAAAGCTTGGCGGATTTGCAATAATAGCATCTGCAACGAATGGCGTTTTATCGTGTGGGTCTGGATCTAAGCAAGATCGCCAGCAACCTTCAAGAATCTCAGCAATCGAAGCTCGCTTCTGTTGAACATCGCCCGCCAGTACGCTCTTCATGCTGGGAATTAACCCCGGATTGCGCACCATGTAAGACATTAATTCAACAGGGTCTCCGCCGATGGGGTAAAACCCCAGTCCGGCTGATTTGACGAACGATTCAAATTTGGCGTGTGTTGCCAACCTCACACGGTGTCCATATCGTTGCAACTCCTCACCCAAGGCGACGAAAGGCTGTACGTCGCCGTGGCTGCCTACTACTTGGATGACAATGTTTAGGCGAAGGTTGAAAGGAGACACTGGTGTAGGGGAGGTCGCCTCTGCCGTTTGGGGCACATCCGCTTCGGTGGATTTGGTGTTCATCAGCCATTCAAGATTTTGGCTGAATCGCGATCCAACTCTCATGTCCACACGACCATCTTCGGTCAAAGAAAGGTCAGGTAAGGGCGCAGTGGGGCATGGTAGTTCAGACGAAAGCGCAATGCCCTGTTGCATTGGCCTATCATCTAAACTCCAAACAGCCTCGTATGGTGGTAGAGGATCTTCATTGTCAGGGACAGTGGAGGTTTGACTTGAATTGGTCATGTTGGTATCTGTCTCTGCGTGTCGTTTACGCTTCACAGAGCAGGATTTAAAGTTGAAAAACAGCGGGGTGATGAGCAAGAAATAAAAGTGGAGGATGTTAAAAATTGATATCGCTACCACCAACGCTGTTGAACGGCTACCTAATGACTACCTAAGAATAGACAACCATGTTAAAAGTGTATTCCAAGGTTGCCTAGAAATGCCCTGATCAGCGTTCATTTTGTTGAATGGTCCGAGCGATTATCTCCACTCTATACTCCGAACTTTTTGATTGGTTATCCGTCTCAGGTGGATCTACCTAAATAGGCACATAGCTTACGGGTACGATCTAATTTCCTAAAACAGACTAGTCTTTTGCAAATTGTAACAATCAACAAAGTTTTAGGCTTTCCTTTTTTAGATTTGAAATTTTAAGCTTGTACTACATAGAGAATACATCAAAACCATTAAAGCAATAAAAGAACTCTTCACATAGCTGATTTGAACCTTCATAATATCTTGCTGGTCATACTGCGAAGCCCAGAAACCCCCCTTTTCTTCTACTTATATTTATCCACCATGGCCGAATCCACACCTCGAACGATTGATCAATACTGGCACAGAAGCGGGCTTTGCGGGGTTATCAGCCGTGCTACACTCCGCACCCTCCAGTTTGTCTTCGCTGTCACAGTTGCTGGTCTTTATGGTGTCGATTTAGCACACTCTACGAAGAGCAACAATCATGCCCACGCAGAATGGATATACGCTGAGTTTGTTGCTGCACTCTCTGCTCTGACTTGCATTGTGCATTGCTTCGTTACTGTGACCCAAGTTGGATGGTCCGCTTGGGATGGAGTTCTGTTTGTCCTTTGGCTTGCCCAGGTGGGCGTTTTTGGGAAAGCCTATACTTCTCACGTCAACCCAGAATATGAAATTGCGACGCTGTCAATTTCTCGTATGCGCGCTGCAGCTTGGATCAACCTGGTCAATATGGTGCTTTGGTTTGCGACAATGGTGCTCGGCATTTTGTGGTGTATCCGGACTCGCAAGGTCAAACGAGGCATGGATGAATCCGGTGTTGCTACGGAAGGGCTTGTCGGGCCGGATGGCGTAAAGAGAATCAGCGATGAGGAGAGTGGTCGCTGGATTGGAGAGGAGAAAGATGTGAAAGATTCTACTGATAAAACTGATGACGACAAGTGTCTGCAGAAGCAGGAGTAGGGGCACACCAAATTATCACCTGCGTCAGTGGACAAGAAGGAAAATCCCGGGCAGGAGAAGGAGGGACTTGAAGTCAAATTTCTTGTTCATACGTTCATATGTTCACATGCCCTCATGTCCTCTATGTCTCTACTATTGTCATTTACTTATCGCGATCTGGAAGATTCGCAGTCCCTTGTTCTTGTTTTATCTAGGCGTTTACAATATCTATTTTTGTTCCTTCGCTCATTAGTCTAAATACTATCAGTAACAAAAATATTTATAATATCATCAGCCTGCATTTGATCTTGATGTTCCAGGTATTAACCCCTCGGTGTAGTATATGTTTTACATACTAATCCCAAGAGGACTTGTTTGGGGGCACATATCATCTTATTTCCGTTGTCCTGCCCGGATATATGAACGGATGCCGGGTTTAGCCTCCGGTGTTCCCTACTAGTTGTAGTGATATTTACTTATTTATCATTCGGTCTTTTTAATGTTTGCCGGCTATACAGGCAATATATGACACTATGAAGCAAAATATTCAATAAAATGTCATTTGTATGAAGCTCTCAGGAACGAGAGTAATTGAGGAAAATACCCCATGTGCCATCATTGAGGTCCCCTAGGATACAGTGCGAAAAAAGGAGCCAGATAGTGACCACCATACCTGTCTAGGCTGTCATAACCAGTGGCTAATACTGCGTCAACTGAATATCTGGCGTCCTCAGAGGCTCATGAAAATCAGCAACCTTCGCCAGCCGACGAGCTTTCTTGATTAGGAGACCAGGATGATAGACACCTAAAACAACCATAGAAAAGAACATAGGAAATGCATCAAAAACATAAATATACAACTCCTTCTGATTCAGGGCTGAATCCTTACTCGCCCCGAACTGAATGGTCCGAACAAGATTTCGAAGCATTAACGCAGAACAGGCAGCGTACAAAGTCCACATGTACTGCTGCCAATTAATATTGTTCATGGTCAAAATATTGGTAGGATTCCTCAGAAGTCGTTGATGCAAGCTGACGGCAATCCAAATGAAGAAGGAGAACACGACCAGAGAGAAAATCAGACCTGCCAGGACGACTTTCTTGCCAATGGCCATGATATTCTCGTCTCCAGTGACCTGAACACCAGCACCGCCTAGTTGCGTGAAGAAAGTAAGTACATCGTTCAATACGAAGATGACCGTAATTCTTTTGGGGCTCATTCTGACTAGATGTTCGGCGTCGAAGGAGCGGATGATTCGACCGAGGACCATGTAGACTGTTGCAGCAAGGAGAGGTGGGGCACAAAGGATGAGCATTTCTTGGAGGGCCCATGAAGAGATTTCTCTTCTATCCTTATGAGACAATGCTCTACCGTAGTATCCAAATGTTTCACCTGGTTAGAATCGTATTAGTCGAATTCCAATCCAGCACTTGAAGGGGGAGATGTACAAATGCCTCCTAGAACGAGAGGAATAAAAAATGCAGCGCGAAATGGAAAAATCAAGATAAGATGGAAGAGTGTTGCGACACCAAACATGGCCATGAATGCATACCCTGCTGTGGCAGAAGGTGTATATGGGTAGAAGTCGACATAAGGCTTGGACCCGTTGACACCGGGGTGGAAGTCGATATCCATTGTAAGCGAGTGGAATTTATGCTAGGGACTGATGATCGATCTCCTTGATACATGCGGTGGAATTTTCAAGCCTTTATGAGACGGCACGCCTATTTTTGAACCAAGCTTAAACGCCCTGTTCCTTGACGATCTATTGCGATTACCTGATTAGGAAATTTTAGAACGAATACGTGAACCCACCCCATCCGTTTCATGTTACTCCGTCCGGAGGTACTTTGCTGGAACTTACTAGTAAAGAACCCAGGTTTCTTCCCAGCCTAGGCAGAATTATTGTTTTTCAAATTTCTGAGTTTCTTACATATGAGTAGAAATCTGATCGACTTGAAAATTCTTCCAGGATCATACAGGGGAAGGATCATCATTCGATTATGCATTTTTAATTTCAATAGTATACAAAACTATTCAATCTGAGTTTGGTACACCTGCTTTAATGGCCATTCAATCCACCGATGAAAGTCCTCGTGCAGATACGTAGAAATCCCCGACAGCATATGTTCAGCCCAGCCGTCCATGAACCATGCCGAGTCCATATACTTCAGAAGCACAACCCAATGCGCCAGTATTACAAGGCTATGTGGCTCCTTCCGCTCCAACGAGCCAATCGTCTCTTCGGGAAGACGATAAACCCATCCCATCAAGAGATCCATCAAGTCCACTCCAGAAGACCCGCCAGATCGTCTCTCGTAAACCTCGCGCATGATTTCGAAGAGATTTTGAATAACAGCCAGGTGCCTGCCGCTCATTTCATTAACGGCCATATCCCTCTCAACTAGTCGTTGAACTGCTTCTGTGTGTACAGTATGTTCATGCAATTTGATGCGCATCTCAGCTGTTAGGTCCCGACTGCGGTCGCTGGACCCTGGCTCAAGAATCCCACTGAAGACTTTCGCATGGTGAGATGAAACAATCAATCGTACACCGTGCATAAGAACCAGCCACTCAGCGGGTCCGTTATCGCTGAAGATGAGGTATTCTCCTGGCCGTGGACCTCTGGCGAAGTAGACGAAACATATTATGACAGCTGACATGTAAACCTTCTGGCAGCTGTCGGCATTTAGCTCGGAGATCACGCTTGTAACTGATCGGACTCCGAAGCTAAAGTGGTTGTCGGCCTGTTGGATGTATTGATCTTGAAGGTCTGGCTTTTCGTGAGCCAGGTGAAGGGCAGATAGAGCGAGAACAAGATGCAGAATGTATGGAGACTCAATACCCCATTGCACAAGGTGCTTCTGCCACACATTATGGAGATCTGGACCACTCGTCATAGTCCGGTATGTGTCGATGGTGTAATGGTGTAAGAGTTGTAGGTCAACCAAGGAGATGGTGCCAGTCAAGCCCGATGAGAGACTACATTGTGTTCCGGTTGACTGGACAAATCGCGATGGCTGAGTTTTGGGTAGTCTGAAAGTCTGTTTGAGTCCGCCTGTCGCATAGCGATGAGGTCGGTATCGTCTTGGTCGCTCGGCGGAAAGTTCTGGACATTTGGGGGATTGCAATCCGGGGGATTCTGCAGTAATTTTATATCTGCATTCAATCAAATGGTTTGAACAGTTGGAGCAAGCTGGTCTTTTTTCATCGCACTGGAATGAGTCAGTTTCCGGTAGCTCGATAAATCGTCGTTGGCGGAAACAAAATAAATAGCGTAGTATTCCCAGCATAGTGACAACAGGTATGGAGAGAGAATGCGAAAATGTAGAAATTTAAAAATATGGGAAAACACAAAGTAATGCGAAATAAGGACTCGACCAGAAGAGATGTGGCAAAATATAATTGTAGCTATTAGCGACAGTAACCAAACCTCTTACCTTGATGCGACGCCTTTTGCAATTGGCACACCCTAAGCGTGACTTCCGATGCGAACGTCGTGCCCTGATAGGCTTTGCGTCGGAGATGCATGTATCCATCATAGCAAGTGAAGGCGCAGTAGAGTGATGTCGTATTCGTTTCAAGCAACTACGTTGGGCGAGACCTTAGATTTACACTAAATATCCAACCTGGGAGCCTAGAACTGGTGTAAAGATCAAACATCTATCAGGGGTTGCCCTTGTTCTTGGAATTTTGATAGGTTGTTGGAGACCGTAAATAGATGTGGGGGTACGAATACGCAGAAATTTCCTGTTTGGCTTTACCTACTGTTCCACTCCGAACGTTCTCAGCAGCGGGACAGTAACTAGAGTGTACTATAGAAAGGAATAGGTCTAATAAAGTACATATGTATACATCTTTGCCTATACCGGTATACACATGTAGTTGCTGAGACGGTGACCACCTGACTGCGTTGATTAGGGCTGTAAGTATCATTCCAAATCATAGGAATAGGAATACTCGGCCGCCTATGCGGTCTTAGGTCTTTTTCGATGGTCTTTTTAGACGTTCTTTTAGATGCTTTTTTGGGGTGTATACGAAGGCAGTAAAGAAAGCATATTCTATCCAAGACTTTTCTATGGATCACAAGCACTATAAAATTGGCAATTCTGTAGGCCCATCCAGGATTAATATACTGTATAGCAGAGTACCTTCTGTTTGGATCACCTGACCCTGTTTGCCAGGATTGCCACTACATAAATAGCCTCCTCTCCCTCCTCTTCTTCCTCCTTCTCTCTTTCTTTTCAATGCAGTCATATTACCTGCTCTCTCTTCTCCAGGGCGGCTCGTGAGGCGCGTGATCGCCAAAGTCAGGCCGAGCTGCTCAATGATAACCTCGACATCCAAGTCGAGAGGCAGTTGGCCGTATGATACCATGCTCTACTATACCTTACTTATATTCTTACCTCTGCCTCTTTATCGGAGTGGTCATGTCTCAAAGCTATGTATAACTAACATGGTTCGCACAAGATCGGATTTCTTTACCAAGGACTAAAAGAATTAAGAGTGAAAGAATAGAATAAGAAAAGGAGAAGGAAATAAAGATAACAAACGAAAAAAAAAAGTTGGATCAAAACCATAAAATCATCTCACTCCTGCTGAAGATCGAGGGATAAATCAGGCTGTGTTTCTACTAGATTCAACGAAAGTGAATCATTAAAGACCAGCCAAGCTAGGCATAACTCTGACCCCCGCAGCAGTCAAATCACCAATCATGACTCGTGGTTCATTGTTAATTGGCATGTCATAACTATATATCACCGCCTATTGTCCAAGAAAACTACCCAGTACGGTGGAAACCCATCGCCTTTTCTACCCATGACGGAGACGCCGAGGAGCAGACTGGAGAATTGTAGAGGTGGTTTAGTAGTATCAAAGGACAAGAAATAGGAGCCAAGCGTTATCCCAAGGCTTGTTTTCCCCTGACAGACAGCGAGTAGGGTTTGGGTTCGATCTAATTATCTCCGATCCGACGATTGTGGCTTATACGAGCCCAAAACCCAGCGCGGGCGGGCTGCCACAGTCATTAGCACGCCTTATATTCAGGAGGCCCCACTCCCATAAACCCTAAGTGGTTTTGAAATATGCGACCCTCAGCCCCCAGTACTATCTCCGATCCGAGATGTTACTGTCTTTAAGATTCTTGGCTGCCATTGTGGATATTAAGTGTAAAGTGTTCAGCTCTTAATAACTCGAACAATAACAATATTCCACACATTCACCATGACGACTATGACCACTATAACCCACTTACCTAGTACGCAACTCCTCAACAGAACCAATCTTCCCACGAATAGCCGAATCATCCAGGTGCCTTGTAACAACTGCTAACAATACTTTCAATCGCTAGCCGCAACACACATCCATCACACTCCACGCTCCAGCCCAGACACAGCTACAGACAAAACCTACCACCTATCAGGCGGCGCCATAGCTGGAATAGTAGTCGTGTCTTTCGCGGCCATCGCTATCGTGTTGCTCATCATACTTCGCAGGAAAGTCGTGGGTTGCTGCGGCCGTGATAAGACACCAGTGGTTGATATCGAGCACGCCTCGTCGCCGCCCACGTATATGCCCCCACAAACACAGCCTGTACTCCAGAATGGCGACTTCGTGTGGCAGGCCTCGGAGATGCCGTCGGAGCAAAATGCTATACATGAAATTGGGTCCATGGACGCCAAGTCAAGGGGGAATGGACAGATTGTCCATGAGCTTAGTTGAGATTATGGGGCTGGGGATGGCTATTGACATATATGGGGCAATACATATGATGATAATGGATATGTAGTCTTTTCAGTCCATCAAGCTGCCCATGTCAACGGCAGATACGGGTTTCGTCGGATTCGCACTGTGTACCAAGGCTCTAGTCCCTGAAAACATAGGCAAGGACCAGGACCTCGATGTAACGTTAGATAGGTGTTGTCGGGAAGCGAGAATTGGGTTAGAAGGGAGGAAATCACTAATGTGGGGGAAGGGAGATTTGGTGTTGGGGAAATCGTCTAGGGGTCTCGCGGGAAGGTACAATGACCGGGCTTCTTGTGACATATGCAGCTCGGTGAGCCCTAGACGTCAAATTTGAGCTTCTTGAAAAAATAATTGGAATGAATCTATATAAGTATGTCGGATCTCTCAGTCTTCATGACGTAGCTTTCTGAACTCTTCAACAATCTAAACATTGCTCTATACACTTCGATGTAGTCCTGTCTGACAAAGTTCAATATGTATAATAGTTGTTTATAGCGAGTTGTGCACTGGATTCTCATTAAAATGCTAGACATACTAAGAAGTATCAAGTCCTACAGTAATCCAGCCTGGTTAATTACCGGTGCCCTAAATAACTATTGGTATATCTATACCTCTGGCGTGCAGATATATATAACTGGAATAATCTTATAATGCTTTCCATAGTTATGATATTGAAACCTATAAAATCCTCGGACTGCCATCATGGCGCAAACCTCTCAACCTTAAGTGTATATTATGGTTAGTAAGTCTTTCCCTAAGATAGCTGGGAAAAGTAGTGGATTTTTTTAGTTTTTTTTAGTTAGAGTCTACACTCATATATATCGTTCATACACACCATACATTGCCATATCAAACTTTTCTGTTAAAAATGAAGAAATTTAAGTCTAGGAAAACACACCAAGAAATGCCAGTGCGGCGTCAATTCCAATGTCATCGATTGGATTTCTACGTTAAGGACTATAAACTAGTTTTGAACGTATAAATTACAAGAATAGTCGCCTGCTTATGTGGCCTTGATATGCCTTTTTAGGTGTTCTTTTAGATGTATTTTAGATGTATTTTGTAGGTGTTAATTCCTGGGCTTGGTGTGATAGGTAGGTAAATATGATCATTGTTGTACAAGTAAGTACCTAAGAGATGCACGATCACGTGCCAAACATCCACGTGGCGGCAACAAAAAGCGTTTTCTATTATAAATAGTTAATGCTCATTCTTCAACATTCAGAAGAACTCGCAACTTTGGCCGAGTTGGTTATGGCGCCAGACTCAAGAAATTTACTTCTTTCACTGTTTCAGTGAGCTTTCTGGTCTCGAAAGAGGCGTGGGTTCGAATCCCACAGGTTGCAAGTAGTTTTTGCTAGTCCGAAAACTATGTAGGATAGATATCAAAGAGTGATAATACCCCAGGTTCTGCCGGTTAAATATACACCAATAAAAACCAAAGAGTGGCGGGCGGTATGTCGAAATTGAAAAGGCGGTAGCAGAAGGGATGTGTTACACTTTTGTAGAGTCACATATCTCTTTCGCAAAGTCTGAAGAGCGTTCCTCGTCCTTTTTTCCTCTTTTTTTGGGGTCTCTTTTCCAGTATTCATATAGTCAAGGGAGGTACATACACACCTCACCTCTTCATTAAATATAGTGAGCCCATTGTTTGGACCCTATATAGCCTTTATATATTTAGGTTAAAGCAAAGCAATGGTCGATCTGCTTCTTCTCACACCTTCTCATTGTTAGCCACAACCCGGTGGTTTTAAAAAATCGCTCCCTGATATACCGTATTACTAGCATTAACTAGGCACTTCCTGACCAACTATATGGCACTGTATGCGTATTGAGTCTGGACCGAAAGCCATCTAATATGACCGACTTCGCATAATCTTGGAAGAATCTGAAGAGCAAAATGTAAAAAATAGTTGAATGATATTCAAGATTGTTGGCATCGCTTTTGAGACATTAAGATACAGAGTGGTCATTCAAAAATAAATGTGTGCACCAGAGCTTTGAATTTTCGGGCGCTACACCAAAGCTGTCTATGATGGTGAGATAGTGTGCAAATAGGGTATTGAGAAAGTTGCCGTAGGTTTAAAAAAATGCAGCCCTGGAATCAACACAGCAGCACCTCGCATAGCGCCTAATTGCAGATGGGAGCAATAAAGGTTGCCAATGAGATTGGTCCTGGTGTTCGGCAGTGGTTCAGCCGGAAATGGACAGCTGTGCTTGTGAGAAGGCTCCACCCAATGAGCGGAAGACGATAAGACCAAGAGCATGGTTTGTAGACCTGGGGCAAGAGAAAACTTCTTAACTGGACAAGATTTGATGGTGTCAAGGAAATGGCACAAAAGGCCAAGAACGGCAAGACATATTACATCTTGCGGAAAGTATTGCCAGAAGCACTGCGGCGTTCCTTGGCCCGGAACGATGTATCGGTCTTGTCGTAGCGCACTTCGGGGGCAGCGCGCTTCGGCTTTCCAGCCGGGTTGAAGCTCATCTCTTGCTCGCCGACCACACCAACCCGTCGTGCAGGCTTTTGTCTCGACTTCATATTCTGCGCACGGGAGCCGAAGGAGCGGTCCCGGGTGGAGTTGGCTTGATTCGAGGAAGATACCTGCATACGAGGCGGAGGTCGCTTCGTCCGCTTGTAGTCGGCAGAAGAAATCTTTTTGGAAGCTGCTGTCTTGGCGGGCTTTTCCGCCTCGCTGTCGGAGTCGGAGTCGGAGCTTGAACCGGGCACGTCGTCGATGGCTTCTTGCTCGACTGCTGTCAAGCCACGCTCCTTTCTCGAAGTTGTTTGGGG